ACACACACACACACACACACATATATATATATATATATATGTATATTTATAAACGCACATACACACACAACACACACACATATATATATATAGTTATATATAATTATATATATATATATATATATACAGTACACACACACACACACATATATATATATATATAGATATATAGATATATAGATATATATTATACACACACACACACTAACACTGCACACACACACACTCTCTCTCTTATAAATGTATATATATATACACATCTTTGTACATGTTTTTATTACGCGAAATTTATACTCTGTATATGCAAGTATATACTACACACCATATATACTCAAGTTATCCTGCCCGATCATAAATCCAGTAGCAACATGCCACTAGCGGTTAGCAACCATTGGTATTCAGATGAACTACAATTGCATCTGTTAAAGGATGGCAGTGTTGTTCGCCTATTCTCAGCCGCAGTATGTGAACCTTAAAACATACTCACGTAAAACCCTTGTAACATACTTATAAACCCCTATTACCGTAGTATATATCAATCTTGAAACATACCTATACATCACCCTTGTAACATACTTAAACCCTTATTACCATACGTATATATCAATCTTGAAATGTACCTACACATCACACTCATGCTTGTATGTCCTGTGTATCAGGAACTCAATCACACTACTTCGACCATTCACGTCATTAGCAAGATTTTGGAGAGCAGTTTGTGGAACGTCAGATGACCGATCTCTTTGTGGTAGATCTCGAGACACGAGACGTGTCACGTGTCAACATCAAGGAAAACGACCCTGACACACCGGTTGCCATGGCAACGCCCGTCTGGGCACCCAACAGTGACACCCTCGTTTGTGCGGGATTTCCCTTGGCTAAAGGGCAGCAGAGACTAGGACTTATATACTGTTTCAACAGGCCATGTAGTCTGTATATGGTCGATCTAGCAGGTGTGTGTATGTTGATGCTTGTATATGTATACACACACACACACACTACACACACACACACACACACACACACACACACGTATATATATATGCATGCATGCGAGTTCAATGTATTCAATGGGATCTTTCATTTCCATTCTCCCTTTAGATGTATTCAGGCAATGTTCGATGCGAGTGCGAAAATCTCCGTTGCGGTTCGTACCGCTTCCTTTCATAAGGTTTCAACGCAAAACGATTTCGGAGATGAACAGCTCGCTATAGTAAGTCTCGTTGCTGTTGCTTGTGTACGTGAAGTAGTGATACTCTGCTGATCTTACGGTTAACTGAAAATGTGGGCAGATGTTTTGTGTATGTGTTCTCATTGCAATGCTCTAGTTCGTCTGTCACAGTCACTGAAAGAGCTGTCCATGCTTGCCATCTATTTTGCACCAGTTGTTTACGTCCTGTTTTCTTATTGTGAACCCTTTTTTTTGGGTGTAATTTGGTCAGATTTTGCCTGCGGGTCAAGTGTTCGATCACCTGAAGCTCACTCATTGCGAACAATAATTCTTCCACACATAAACCTAATACGCATATTGCCAAGGTCGTGATATCTTAAGCCGACCACAACCCATATCTCACAGTCTTTGTAGTCTGATGGTTGATTGGGTCTATTGCAATTTACCTGCCCTTAGAGTGATTCAGTGCGGTTCGTTGACACACTACTTACCCGTTACACACCATACTAACAGGATCTGATGTGCGACAAGGCCATATTCGATGCGCTCAGAGACTGTGGTGCATGTGCTACGGTACGTGACACATATGTCGGCTTTGAGTTCGAATCATACGGCTCGTATTTGTTTTATGTACTTCACTCCTTATGTCATATTGGCGAAACATTGCTGAGTTGCAATTTGAACGATACTCTGAGGACCATAGTGCACTAAAATCTTGCATATATATATATATATATATATATATATATATATATATATATATATAACACACACACACACACACACACA